GGCTTTGTCCCTTTGTCTCCAAAAGCTCACCACCCAAACACAGGGTTTCCCACATACGGGGACAGGGGGGTCTTTATCCCATGAGCCTCTATACCTGAGAGACCAAGTGCAGGAAAAAATGACCGCCCCTTTGTCTCCCAGGCACCACAGAGCCTGCCAAACTTGCCAATGCCCGAGAAGTGTCCACACCAACCTCAGGGACCCTTACAACGGCCTCTGTCACGAACTGCCTCCGTTCACGGAGTCCCTGTGTGGAAATCAGGCAAGGGAAGCATCTCCTTTCGGGATATGAATGCTCTCCCAGAGCAGTCGAACGAGATGGCAGCCACCCAGGGTAGCATGTATTAATTACTTCCCTTGCGGTTTCACACTTGTGTTGTGAGTGTGAACTTTCTAATTGATAGGCGCGAACATTCTAATGGGGCGCTGGGAGACCCTCATTAGGGAAATGAACGAGTCAGGAAACAATTCACGAACGCTCCCTCTGGCTGGCGTTCATCTGCATGAATGGCCGCCAGCTGGAGGAGTGCTTATTAATTTCCCTAGCGGTTTGACACTATGTGGCGAGGTGTGAAGGTTCTAAGCCAACATTCTAAATTGGGTATCAGAGGTGAATGAATTCCCTTCATGGCAGCACTCCCGAATGGAGAGCGGGAAGAAGACACGAAAGAAGGGGAAACACACATAATATCGATGAAAGATGGGGAAACACACATAAGATCAGACAGGCAATTCACGGACCGGCAGCACATGGTCATCTTGTGCATACACATCAAATTCTCAATACATCTCATAAAGAATGTCGTAGGAGGTGGAGTCTCAGAGCATAGAGAGTCTCAGCATTGGAATGAGGTAAGTGAATTCTATGTTTTAAAAATATTTATGGGAAATGGTGGGGGATTACGTCGACAGTGAGTGCTAGATATTTGAGTATCCCCATTCTCAAGTATGGAGTCCCAAACAGTAAAGTATTAGCTATATCTAATTACTGGCTGAGAGCCAACGATCTGCTCATCTCCTCCAGGTCACTAACTGTCATGTGACAGAGGTAACTACCGGCAGTTCTATTCACAGCAATGGCTCACTTACCTATGCACATACAAGTTAATATGTACTGTTCTCGAGCTCTGTATAGAAAATCTCTAGGCTAATAAAAAGCCCCAAAATGAAGCCTGATTTCAATAAATGTTTGATATTAAATGACTACACAATAGAGGGATGTGTTAAATAACAGCATTACCATAGAAATGGTTAAGGAAGCATGATAGCATTTAAGATTTTTTTTTCTGTATGGCAGTTAATAATTTCACAATATATTCTTTCATATACAGTAATCCGATAATATTCTCACCATGAGCACGCCCATGTTCGCTATTAAAACTTATTAGCGGTAACTTGGGCTGACGTGCCTTTCACTCATTAAAATTAATTTCTTTAATAAATCATTAAATCTCTATTAAAATGCTTTATTTCAATGTAAATTTTTCTGCTCCCATCCCATGGCTCCTTATTAATTGACTGTGTCTGGTTTAATTATTTTGAAGTCTGTTCAGCTGTGTTTTATTAACAGGGCTATTTACAAAGGTTAGAATCCAAAGTGAATTCAAGGTAATATTCCAAACTAAGGCCAGAGCAGTCGAACTGAAAGCAAAGCTGAGTCAGAGAATTTTTCCAGTTGAGCAGTTTTGACCTTATATTTGATATTACCCTGGAATTCTCAGTTTAGTGAATAATCCTGGAATGAGTGAATTAACAATTAAATAACCTGGACTGGGCAACGTGGGTACTGCACATCAAGCACTTTATATCCTGCCTCGTCCCTGCATACTGAAATGATGAAATAATACATGAATAAAATAGTTCAAGCCATTGATCGGCAATATGTGGTCTCCATGACGTTTTGGGCTTGAAACTTGAAAAATGATTTAATTGAAGTGGGGAACACTTTACTTCAGAAAATGGTCATATTTCTTCTTTAAAAGAGAACTGTATATTTTCTGGAAATTACACTATCGAATTGTAAAATAATGTACATTTATACTAAACATTTAGCAAATTAGATCAGAATCCAGTTCAGTACTGGCACAGCGTGGGCACACAATGCAAATGAAGAGAAACAGATACATCGTTTCATTTCTCCTCCTCTCTGTATGCTCTCTCTATACTGACTGCCAGGTGTAAAGGGCGGAGCTTATAACAATGATTGACAGGGAGCTACGATGGAGGCGGCTCTCTCTATACTGGCTGCCAGGTGTAAAGGGCGGAGCGTATAACAATGATTGACAGGAGCTAAGATGGAGGCGGCTCTCTCTATACTGACTGCCAGGTGTAAAGGGCGGAGCTTATAACAATGATTGACAGGGAGCTAAGATGGAGGTGGCTCTCTCTATACTGACTGACCAGGTGTAAAGGGCGGAGCTTATAACAATGATTGACAGGGAGCTAAGATGGAGGTGGCTCTCTCTATACTGACTGCCAGGTGTAAAGGGCGGAGCTTATAACAATGATTGACAGGGAGCTAAGATGGAGGTGGCTCTCTCTATACTGACTGCCAGGTGTAAAGGGCGGAGCTTATAACAATGATTGACAGGGAGCTAAGATGGAGGCGGCTCTCTATACTGACTGCCAGGTGTAAAGGGCGGAGCTTATAACAATGATTGACAGGGAGCTAAGATGCAGATGGCTCTCTCTATACTGACTGCCAGGTGTAAAGGGCGGAGCTTATAACAATGATTGACAGGGATCTAAGATGGAGGCGGCTCTCTATACTGACTGCCAGGTGTAAAGGGCGGAGCTTATAACAATGATTGACAGGGGAGCTAAGATGGTGGCAGCTCTCTCTATACTGACTGCAAGGTGTAAAGGGCGGAGCTTATAACAATGATTGACAGGGAGCTAAGATGGAGGTGGCTCTCTCTATACTGACTGCCAGGTGTAAAGGGCGGAGCTTATAACAATGATTGACAGGGGGCTAAGATGGAGGCGGCTCTCTCTATACTGACTGCCAGGTGTAAAGGGCGGAGCTTATAACAATGATTGACAGGGGGCTAAGATTGGTATGCTCTCTCATACAGACTGCCAGTGTAAAGGGCTTGTTTCTTATAACAATGTGATTGACAGGGAGCTAAGATGAGGTGGCCTCTATACTGACTGCCAGGTGTAAAGGACCTGAGCTTATAACAATGTGATTGATACAGGGAGCTAAGATGGAGGTGGCTCTCTTCTACACTGGACTGCCAGGTGTAAAGGGCGGAGCTTATAACAATGATTGACAGGGAGCTAAAATGGAGGCGGCTCTCTCTATGCTGACTGCCAGGTGTAAGGGGCGGAGCTTATAACAATGACTGACAGGGAGCTAAGATGGAGGCGGCTCTCTCTATACTGACTGCTAGGTGTAAAGGGCGGAGCTTATAACAATGATTGACAGGGAGCTAAGATGGAGGTGGCTCTCTCTATACTGACTGCCAGGTGTAAAGGGCGGAGCTTATAACAATGATTGACAGGGAGCTAAGATGGAGGCGGCTCTCTCTATACTGGCTGCCAGGTGTAAAGGGCGGAGCTTATAACAATGATTGACAGGGAGCTAAGATGGAGGCGGCTCTCTCTATACTGGCTGCCAGGTGTAAAGGGCGGAGCTTATAACAATGATTGACAGGGAGCTAAGATGGAGGCGGCTCTCTCTATACTGACTGCCAGGTGTAAAGGGCAGAGCTTATAACAATGATTGACAGGAAGCTAAGATGGAGGCGGCTCTCTCTATACTGACTGCCAGGTGTAAAGGGCGGAGCTTATAACAATGATTGACAGGGAGCTAAGATGGAGGTGGCTCTCTATACTGATTGCCAGGTGTAAAGGGCAGAGCTTATAACAATGATTGACAGGGAGCTTAGATGGAGGTGGCTCTCTCTATACTGACTGCCAGGTGTAAAGGGCGGAGCTTATAACAATGATTGACAGGGAGCTAAGATGGAGGCGGCTCTCTCTATACTGACTGCCAGGTGTAAAGGACGGAGCTTATAACAATGATTGACAGGGAGCTAAGATGGAGGTGGCTCTCTCTATACTGACTGCCAGGTGTATAGGGCGGAGCTTATAACAATGATTGACAGGGAGCTAAGATGGAGGCGGCTCTCTCTATACTGACTGATAGGTGTAAAGGGCGGAGCTTATAACAATGACTGACAGGGAGCTAAGATGGAGGTGGCTCTCTCTATAATGACTGCCAGGTGTAAAGGGCGTAGCTTATAACAATGATTGACAGGGAGCTAAGATGGAGGTGGCTCTCTCTATACTGACTGACAGGTGTAAAGGGTGGAGCTTATAACAATGATTGACAGGGAGCTAAGATGGAGGTGGCTCTCTCTATACCGACTGCCAGGTGTAAAGGGCGGAGCTTATAACAAT